TAGAGCTCTGACTCCCGATGTCCTAGTAACTTCAGAGTCTGCCTTTAAACTCAGTGCGGTCCGGCTGGTGTGGTTCAGTGGTTGAATGTCAGCCTATGAACCAGGAGGTCATAGGTACATGCCTGTCAGAGCACATATCTGGGTTGCAGGCTCAATCCCCAGTAGGAGCGTGCAGGAGGCAGCTGATCAATGATTCTCTCACATCATTGATGTTTCTATCTTTCTCCTTCTCCCTCTCTGAAATCAATAAAACTGTATTTAAAAATAAATAAAATCAATAAAAAGAAAGAACAATATAAATGAACAAACAAAACAAAAACAGACTCATAGATACAGAGAACAGATTGATGGTTGCCAGAGGGGAGGGGTTTCGGGATTGGAGACAAAGCTAAAGGGACAAACCTGTATGGTACCAGTGGGGCACTGGAAATATCAGGGGGAACACTTTGTAAAGTATACCAGGTGTACTGGTTAATAATGCGGATTTTTTTCAATAGATGGAGTTACACATATGTTGATATATATGCGATTTGATATGTATGCTATTTTGTTGAATTGACATCAAGCTTTAAAACTTCATATGTCGCTGAAACCGGTTTGGCTCAGTGGATAGAGCGTCGGTCTGTGGACTGAAGGGTCCCAGGTTCGATTCCGGTCAAGGGCATGTGCCTGGGTTGCGGGCACATCCCCAGTGGGAGATGTGCAGGAGGCAGCTGATCGGTGTTTCTCTCTCATCGATGTTTCTGGCTCTCTATCTCTCTCCATTCCTCTCTGTAAAAAATCAATAAAATATATTTAAAAAAAAAAAAACTTCATATGTCGTTTTCTGAAGGTGTTAACAGCATAGATATTTTTACACTTAAAAATGTCGAGTTTTGTGCCCAAAAAAAGAGCATTTGTGGGAAGTTCTAATTCATTACTTTATTCTGAAGAAAAGTGCTGCTGAAAGTTATCATATACTTCGGGAAGCTTATGGTGAACATGCTCCATCTCAAGATACTTGTGAACGCTGGTTTATATATTTTTTATTTTTTTAAAATATATTTTATTGGTTTTTTACAGAGAGGAAGGGAATCGGGGGAGAGAGTTAGAAACATCGATGAGAGAGAAGCATCAATCAGCTGCCTCCTGCACACCCCCTACTGGAGATGTGCCCGCAACCAAGGTACATGCCCTTGACTGGAATCAAACTCGGAACCCTTCAGTCTGCAGGCCAACGCTCTATCCACAGAGCCAAACCGGTCAGGGCGTAAACGCTGGTTTAAACGCTTTAAAAGTGATGATTTTGATGTGAAAGACAAAGAACGTCCAGGTCAACCAAAAAAGTTTGAAGACCAACAATTACAAGCATTATTGGATGAAGATGCGTGTCAAACTCAAACAACTTGTAGAAATATTAAACGTTGCTCAGCAAACAATTTTTGATCATTTACAAACAATGGGAAAGACTTTAAAGGAAGGAAAGTGGGTGCCACATCAACTGAACGAAAGACAAATGGAAAATCGAAAAGTCATGAGTAAAATGTTGCTTCAGCGGCACGAAAGAAAGTCTTTTTTCTTTTTTTTTTTTTGCATCAAATTGTGACTGGCAATGAAAAGTGGACTTATTTTGAGAATCCCAAATGCACAAAGTCATGGATTGATCCAGGTCAACCATCAACATCGACTGCAAGGCCAATCGCTTCGGAAAGAAGACAATGCTCTGCGTTTGGGGGGATCAGGAAGGTGAGGTGTATTGTGAGCTTCTAAAACCAGGTGAAACCGTTAATACTGATCGCTACCAACAACAAATAATCAACTTGAACCACACTTTGATCGTAAAACGACCAGAATGTGCCAGAAGACACAGCAAAGTAATTTTGCTTCATGACCAGTTAAACCAGTTCTCCCTCTCTGAAATCAATAAAACTATATTTAAAAATAAATAAAATCAATAAAAAGAAAGAACAATATAAATGAACAAACAAAACAGAAACAGACTCATAGGTACAGAGAACAGACTGATGGTTGCCAGAGGGGAGGGGTTTCGGGACTGGAGACAAAGCTGAAGGGACAAACCTATATGGTACCAATGGGGCACTGGAAATATCAGGGGGAACACTTTGTAAAGTATACCAGGTGTACACTTCAAAACGAGTTAAAGACACGTTAAAAGATCTTGCCTGGGAATATTAACCACCCGCCGTATTCACAATACCTTGCTCCTTCAGATGACCACTTGTTCCGACCGATGGCACACACACACTTTCTGAGCAGCACTTCAAAACGTACAAAGAAGTGGAAAATTGGGTCTCTAAATGGTTTGCCTCAAAATAAGAAAAGTTCTATTGGGACAGTATCTACAGATTACCTGAAAGATGGGGGAAATGTGTAGCTAGTGATGGAATTACTTTGAATAAAGCACTTTTGATGTTTCTCTTGAAATTATCGTGTTTTCTTTGATTACAAAATCCGCATTATTAACCGGTACACCTAGAATGATTGTCTAACCAATATGTTATACACCTGAAAATAATACAAGTAATATTGAATGTACAGTAAACTGTAATATAAAAATAGAAATTTTTTTTTAAATAAAATGAAATAATAAACACAGTGTGGGCTGGCTCCCAGCTCTGTCCGGGGCATTTTCACTGCAGGCTTTTCTTGTGCACAGCGCCCTGCACATTCGTGGCTCTTCATCTAAGACTGGGCCAGCTCTCTCTGTTTCATCTGTTGTCTATCATATAAAGATAACGTGAACGTCCCCATTTTTTACTTTTCTTCGGTGATGAGGTTATGGGACCATTTCATCAGTTTTCAGAAGAGGGCTGGTTCTCAACCTCTTTGTGGGTGGTTTGTGTTCTAGCGTTGAATGCCCACTTTTGAAAACCGCTTTCTGCAGAGTAGTTCATTACATGAGACTTCCTAGAGCGGTGGTCAGCAGACTGCAGCTGGCGAGCCACACGCGGCTCTCTGGCCCCTTGAGTGTGGCTCTTCCACAAAATACCACGTGCGGACGCGCACGTACAGTGCGACTGAAACTTCGTGGCCCATGCGCAGAAGTCGGTATTTTGTGGAAGAGCCACACTCAAGGGGCCAAAGAGCCGCGTGTGGCTCGCGAGCCGCAGTTTGCCGGCCACTGTCCTTGATACATTTGTTCCTGTCCCTGGGTGATTGGCAGCTAGTGAGTCTGCTTGTCTGGGTCATTGTAAATAAGTAGACATTTAGGGGTCAGGTCCACTTGCATTACTTTTTGCTCTGGGGGTGGAGTTAGCCAGAGCTTCTGTCTGCCCGGGACTGCACTAAGGTCATGCTGCTCTTGTCGGTGCAGGTGCGTCTGCTCATCTTGTTTGTGTCTCTGCACAGAGCCACCTGGCGGTGTTTACAGTGGTTCACCCGCTTGCTCCCAGCGTGAGCTCCAGCGTGGCGTCCAGCCTGGCGTCCAGTGCTGGTTCCAGCGGCTCCTCCCCCACTGCTCTGCCCATTCTCTCAGCCCGTGCCCACCCACTGGACCCCACTGGCAGTGCCCTCGAGTCCATCCCAGGTAAGCCCAAGACTCTGGTTTCCCTGACTTCTCTTAGCATTGCCTTGTAGCATTTGGGGAATAAGGTGGAAAACCCACCTGTGATTTTGGTCATCTGTCACCTTGGCTGTCTGGCACATGGTCATGGAAACACCTCCCTCACCAGCAGCCCGGGGCTGGGGCTGCAGATCTGATGAGGAGCCCTCGGGTGGGGCAGCTGCACAGGCCTCAGGGCAAGGCAGAGAATGGGAGGCTCTGGAAATTGAAGTGGGAGTTGGGGGGAACGGCCAGGGCACTGGAGGGTGGGGGGCTATGACGAGGGTGGGAGGGAGTAGGATGAGTGCAGAAGGCAGTGGGCACGGCTGCCGACTATAGTGGTTCCCTAGCTGCTAGGAGTCATTGAGGGTTTGTGGACTGATGAGCCCTGTGGTTGGAGCCAGGCTGGGGGAACCTGCCTGACAGCCTGGATGGAGGCCTGGGGCTCAGGTGGGAACTGTGGTGAAAATGTAGGGACGAGCAAGATGGACTGACAGCTAAGAGGGTGGTGGTGGGCTGTGCCTGTCCCCTTGGCCCCCTCAGGCCACATTGGAGTGGTGGGCACCTGGGACCGGCGGAGGGTGCTCTGCATTGCTCAGCTGGCCCTCACACACATCTCTGTCCTGGTACCGGGAGGTTCAGGGAAGGCCTTCTGTTTGTGGAAGTTCCAAACGCTGTCCCAGAGTTGGCTGGGGAGGTGTGGCTGTTGGCCAGGAGTTGGCTGCTGCTCCGATAAGAGTCCCAGCCTGGGTAGCACAAAATTTTATTGTTATGGATAAGCACAAACAATTCTTAAAGGAAAGCTTCTTTTCCCCAATATAAAGGTAGTAATAGTAAAATTTGAGCATAAGAGCAAATTAATTAGGAAAATGAAATTCCTGCCCCTAAATAGGTGAGGCTTTGCTCACCTGAGCGAAATGTAGAACCAGGTGCATCTATGCTTTGAAAGGGGCCTCAGTGGACAGGTTTGATTTAAGATTGGAGTTACGTATTTGTAGTAATTTTTGCAGTCATTATCTAACACCTAAGGGGGCGTCCTCAGCCTGTTTAGTATGTCATTGACCATCTTGCTGTGTATACTTTCATTGACTTAAATATTTCTTGAACCAACTACCAGGAGGTAAAGAGGTGAATTTTTGATCAGGATCAACATTGCCTCCACTTACAGATAATACATTGCTGTTGCTGCTGTTAAAATAATGAGCTTCTACTATCAGTGTGATCCTCACGCTTTCTATGCTCACCCCCCTGAGATCACATGTAAGATTATGGCCTGATACTGCCCCAGTTATGGCAGTAACTGCCCTCTGGCCCCAGGAGGGCCCTCGCTGGGCAGTGTTTCCACTGCTGAGAACTCCCACCACCGACGTGCTTTGGGGCTAACAGGTGTAGACTGGATGTTTCCTCCTGGGGTACAGTTTCATTCCGGTTATATCATTACAAATGCACTGAATCAAAATTCATTTTAAAATTATTCATTTATTCATTTAGAGTAAACTAAAAAAATAGGTATGGTTTCCAGACTATTCTGTATTTAATGGATTTTGTGGAATCATCTCAGGTCAGATTTCATTTCCTTTTCCTTTCACTTCATATGAACAGGTTTCAGATTAAAACAGTGACCATTGCCCTAGCAGGTTTGGCTCAGTGGATAGAGTGTCAGCCCATGGACTGAAGGGCTCCATCCTGCCCGATGCAGGAGGCAACCAGTCGATGCGTCTTTCTCACATCCATGTTTCTCTCTCTCTCTAAAAATCAATGGAAAAATATCCTCTGGTGAGGATTAACATCATCATCATCATCATCATCATCATCATCATAGTGACCATTAAGTCCTGCAGTTGTGAGTGTTGACCTATGAACCAGGAGGTTATGCTTCAATTATGGGTCAGGGCACATGCCCTGGTTTTGGCTAGATCCCCAGTAGGGGGCATGCAAAAGGCAGCCAATCAATAATTCTCTCTCATTGATGTTTCTATCTGCCCCTCCCTCTTTGAAATTAATAAAAAATATATATGTTTAAAAATAGTGACCATCAACCCTAGCCGGTTTGGCTCAGTGGATAGAGCGTCTGCCTGTGGACCCAAGGATCCCCGGTTGGATTCTGGTCAAGGGCAAGTACCTTGGTTGCAGGCTCCTCCCCTCCCCAGGCCCTGGTCTAGGCAACCAATCTTTCTCTCACATTGATGTTTCTCCCTGTCTTTCCCTCTCTCTTCCACTCTCCCTAAAAATCAATGGAAAAATATCCTCAGGTGAGGATTAAAATAAATTAATTAATTAATTAATAAAATTTAAAAAGTGACCTTTAAAATAGTAACCAGAGGATCCTGCCATCTGCTCTTCCTGCTATCCCTTACCCCTTCCTCCCACCCTGCTTTCCCTTGCTGCCCCAAACCCCACCCCAGGTACACCACACTTCCCTCCCTCTCTTCCAGCCTCCAAGCCCTCCCCCCCCCAAAAAAAAAAAATAAAATAAAATAAAATAGTAACCAGAGGAGCTCATTGCTGGAAGCGGCCAGCGGCAAAGAGCAGCGAGAGCCATGATTCCCAGCACCTTGGGTCGGCGTGGGGCGGACCAGGGCCGGGGGCGGGTCGCGTCGAAGGCCTGCGTCACTCGTGGGCGGGGCCGGGCGGGGCACCGCCCCCTAAGGCTTGCGTAATCGGGCCGGGGCCGGGGGCGGGTCGCGTCGAAGGCCTGCGTCACTCGTGGGCGGGGCCGGGCGGGACACCGCCCCCTAAGGCTTGTGTAATCGGGGCGGGGCCGGAGGCGGGGCGCGTCAAAGGCCTGCGTCACTCGTGGGCGGGGCAGGCGCGCGGTGGGCGGGCCGCGGGCCGTATTTGAATCCGCGGTGGCGGCGGCGGCGGCAGCAGTGGAGCGGGCCGTGAGTCAGCATCCGCAGCCCTGTGTCCTCCGGGAGCGGGTCGTCGTTAGGCGGAGCTGCGGAGCAGACCGTGCGCCCCCCTCCGGTGTGGTGCGCCCCCTTCGCGCGCCAACACCCCAGGTGAGGTGCGTCTCCCCACCTCTCCTTCGCGCACCTTGCCCCTCAGGTGTGCCTGCCCTCCCCTCCCGGTGCTTGCTCTGGTGCTCGGTGCCCGCGCCCGGTGGGAGAGCAGGGGTGGACACCCGCTTTCCTAGGGCTGCGGCGTGAGGGGAAGGCGATCTGCCCGCCTGAGGAGCTGCTCTGCAGAGGCGCCCGCGGGTCCCTGCGTGGGCGCCCGCCGCCAGGCTGCTCGGCGGAGCCTTCATCACCTAGCGGAGGTGGGCGTCTTGCTCCCGGGAGAGGACGGTTTCCCGTCTCATCCGCGAATCGCCGCCCGCGCCTACCCTGTCGGAAAGGGAGACCCGCGAGTAGCAGGTGTGCCAGGTGCTTCTCTCTCTTGTAGTTGGGGGAGGACCGCGCGGACCGGGTGGGTGCGGGGAGCTCCCCCGGCCGCGGGTCCCCCAGTTTGGCCTTTGATTCTGTGCACGGTAAGCGTTGTCCCCGTGAGTCCCTGACCCTGGGACCGCGGCGCCTCTCCAGTGTGCTGTGTCACGTCAGGCACGGGGCTCTGCCAGAGCCATTACTCAGCAGCTTTCAGCTAATTTTTCATTACCGTCGGGGAGGTCCCTGGATCTTGGCGAGGCCGGTTCTGGGTCAGATGGCACAATTTATGTATGTAGGTGGGTTCATCTGCATTTTGAGTGTTGAGGCCTTTTTAAAAGTCAGTTCTCCCTTTATTTTGGGAGACTGGGTCCTGCGCTCAGGGAGCAGCAAGGTGTGGTAGGATGAAAGTACTGCTGGTGAGAAAGTGGGCCAGGACACATCCTGGGAGCCCGGTCTGCCTTGTAAGCTGCAAGCAGGCTGTGGTTTGCCAGGCCAGGCTTGGCCCCTCTGATGCTCCTCTGCACCCGAGGGGGCAGAGGGGTGCACTTGGGTGCCGAGTCATGGGGTGGGGTTGGGGGAGCATCGGGAAATAAATCGCTTCCAGGTGAGCAAAGGCTCCAGCAGTCAAGTTTGCCTCCCCCTTTGTGCCTGTGTTATTCAAACGATGCTTCTGGAACTCTGTTCGCTTCGAAGCTGACCTTCTCTAATCTGATCCTAGGACTGCAGGTGCTAAGGGCTGAGTCCATGTTTTCAGGCCCAACTAACCCGCATGTTCAGAGCCCCAGGCTGAGCAGATATGCCAGATCAGCTCATGAAGGGTGCATGTGGGCCTCCATTCTTCTGGCTGCAGCACTGGGAGCCTGGAGAGATGGAGGAGGCAGGGCAGAGTGAAAGGGTTGGGTGGCGGGTGGGGGGTCAGTGCTCTTAGAAGATGAGTCCGCACATCAGTCAGCACTGGTTCGGGTGCACTCATACAGTCTAGGCTGACGTGCAGGAATGGAGCAGGGGGAGATTCTAAGAGGGTTTTGGAGGCTGAGCAGGAGTTCTCCCAGGACTAGTGGGGCTAATGGAAGCCGCAGCCTATGGCAGCAGTGTCACGGCTTGAGGACAAAAGAGGAACCATTTTGGGGTGGAAAGACTGCTTTGGCAGGACCAGGATGGGGCAGAGTCCAGCTGGGAAGTGTTGACCTGCATGCCAAGGTGGCGCGTTCTTTTTTGGGAGGCAGGATTAGCTACTGCCAAGGCCACTCTTGAGACAATTCAGGTCAGGGTGAAGGGGCAGGGCAGCCTGCAGAAATGGCTGGAGTGTGGGGCCTAACTGATGTGTACTGAGGGAGGAGGAGCTGAGGGTTCCCACAGGGCTCCTGTTCAGTGAGTGATCCCAGGTGCACCAGTGTGAGGGAGGCACCTGTGCACAGATGGAGGCGACCGTGCAGCTGTACTGAGGGCCATCTGGGCATCTAGCTGTGAGGACTGCAGAAACCATGTGTGTCTGGGCCTGGAAGGGCTGCTGAGCTCCCTTCTGAGGAGAGTGGGAGGGCTAAGAAGTTGCCCCTGGCAGAGGAGGGTGGAGAGGGACTGGCAGCAGGCAGTGGCTGCGTTGACCGAGAGGTTTTGGGGCGCAGGGCCGGAGGGCAAGGCCTGGGCGACAGATTGAAAAGTGAATTGGAAACTGAGGATGGCAAGGAGGAGGGGGGTGGCCAACAGAGACAGGCTGTGTGAGGTGCTGCAGAGCCTGCAGGGCTGTAGTGTCCTGGGGAGTAGGTGCCAGCGAGAGACTGGAATTCGCAGCAACAGGACAGGTCTGTGGAGGGACCCCCCGGAGGTCTGGGCTCCGGGCCTGTGGGAGGTGCCCATGCAAGCACCAGAGCACAGCCTGGAGGGGATGGATTGGGTGGGCATGTCCCCAGGCAATCTCCTTTGTTGTGGGTTGAATCATGTTTTCCAAAAAGATATGCCTCAGTCCTACCCCCTGCCACTGACCTGGGAACATGACCTTATTTGGAAATGGTCTTCGCCAAATAGGTAAAATGAGGTCATTAACATGAGCCCTAATCCAAGATGACTGCTGTCCTTAAAAGAGGGAGGAGATTTGGACACCAAGCAGAGGAGAGCCAGCCATGTGATGATGGAGGCAGAGACAGGGTGGTGCACCCACCAGCCAAGGAAGGCCAAGGGTTGCTGCCGAGGCCGAAGCTGGAAGAGGCAGATGGAGCCTCCAGAGGGAATGCAGCCCTGTGCACCCTGATCTCAACTTCTGGCTGCAGAGTTGGGAGGATGGAATTGTGGTGTTTGAAGCTGCCCGGCCTGTGGTGCTTGGTTTCAGCAGCTCCCAGACACAGAGGCTCCTGGGCCCTGGATGTTATGAAGAAGCTGCAAGGTCTTCCTGAGGTCTGGGCTGTGGCGTCAGGCTGTTTGCATGTTGCCTGGCTGTGCCGCGGGGTGCATCAGGAGAACCTGCTGGAGGAGCTGGTCCAGCTGAGCTGCTGTTGGCACATTCAGGCCACAGTGAGGAATGTTCATTGTCTTTCCATCACCTTCTCAGGGACAAAAGAGCTTGAGGTGCTGCTGGCCTGGGGCCTGCTGTCTGCTGCCCCCACTGTCGTCCTTGCACAGTTAGGTATCTGTAGGGTCAATGTCTCCAGCTCAGCACCTTCCCATCTCTCACAGATGGAATCTAGGGATTCTTGGGGCTGCGGGGGGGGGGGGGGGGGGGGGATAGAACCCCACTTTTCCAGATAAGACCTTCAAAGTCTTTAACACCTTTGTGTCAGTAGTTCTTGGGAGTGGGCATGGCCTTGGTACCTCCCACTGCTCCTGGTGACAAATAACTGTGTGTGTGTCGGGGGCAGGGAGTACAGTGTTCTCCAGGTGACTTGGTAGCTTGGCTGGGATGCTCTGATGCTGGGGTTGGGGCGGGGCACGCAGAGTGATCCCCCAACACCCTCTCTGGTCAGTGGAGCATGGTCTTCACTCTCTGCTCTGGGCCCTGGTTCCCAGGCAGGGCCATGTCGTGATGACACAGCAGTGATGACACAAGGAGACAGATGCAGGCCCTGGGCCTCACCAGGCAGTGCTGCTCCCTTGCATCCTGGACACGAGGCCCCCTACCTGTCAGTGTGCACAGCAGACCTCACACCACAGAGACTGAGCACGCTCATCGCTCATCGGCTAGGAGCCCTCTTGTGGTCAACTCACATAGTCCCCCCAGCGGCTGAGGACAGTGTAGCTGGGGATGCCTGTCTGGGCTGGACCCTGCGTCTGCTCTACATGTGTGCCACAGCGGGCTCCCCATAGATTTGCTTGTGCTGAGGACTTACATTCTTTGGAAGTCACACGTCTCTTGTCCCATATTTCCTGCTGATGACAGTAAATGCATCTCATTTAAAAAGGCAGCAGCCCCCTCCCCAACGTAGGCAGGTTCCCCTGTCCCTTGAGTCGCACTTTGCTCAACTCTTATATTTGAATGCAGTGTTTGAACCGCCCAGCCCAGCAGCAGCTCCTGCAGCCTGGGCCCAGCTGCTTCCTGCATGACCCTGTGCAGGAGACATGGCCGTGCCTCTGACGTGGCCTGTAGTCTGGGCAAAGCCAAGTGCGGGACATGATCGGACTGGACAGTGGCTCCTCTCCTTGGGCAGCTTTAACCTGATGTTGCTGGTAGGACGTGGTCCAGGGGACTCTGTGACACTTGGCACCAGGCAGCTGGGGCAAGGGGGAGGTAGGCGCCTCCAAAAGCCCAATTCGCTCACCCAGAGAAGCAGGTCTGACCAGGATCCCTGTGGTGTGTCCCCTGGGCTGTGGAGATGTCTGTCCTGGGGGCAGGGGCAGGGTAGGGTGACTTTGTGGCCTCTTGAAATGAGACCTGGTGCATCTGACCAGGCATCATGGGGGACTTAGGGGACCCTCAGCCACCAGGGGGGACAGGGCTCAGCTACATAGGAGAGGCCCACTTCTGGGAGGGGGTGCTATGAGGGAGCGAGTGGGTCCCCAGAGGTGGGGGGTGGAGGGAGAAAGGTGCTTAGAGGCAGAACTCCTGTGTGCTGTGCCTTCGATGCCACCACGCTCTCCTGTAGGTGAGACCTAATTTGGGGTGGGAAGGCTGCTCTGGCTCACGGGGTGTGTCCCAGGGTTTCTCTGCCTGCTGCCCCTCCCCTGGGCATTTCCCAAGGGTCTTGGGGCCACACCTTCCCTGAGCTGATCCTGTGGGACCCCAGAGACTCCTGAGTCATGCTCCGGCTTAGGGGGCTGGTTGGCCTGACTTCGGCCACCCTAAGACAGCTTCCTGCTCATGTGCCGAGTCAGTGCTGCTCCCTCCGTCCTGCCTGCAGGTTTCTGAGGAAAGCTTTTGGGGGCGGGGCAGCTCCGAGGGCCCCACCGTTCATTCCCGTTTTGTTGAGCTGACATGCCTGGGGTGTATGGTGTCCTCGGTGAACAGAGGGAATGGGAGGGACCCGCTCAGTGTTAGGGTGGGAGAGCAGGATGCGGGTCACCCTGGTGCGGGGGTCGGTGGTCCCTGTGTTAGTGCGAGTGCAGCCTCACACTGTGGACTGTGAACTGCTTTCCCGTGGATATCGCCCTCTTGGAATTTTCTTTTACTAGTTAAGTGTGTTTACTTGGTCAAATGTCGTCCCGTGAAATCTAAACGTAGAAGCTGACGTCATTGAGGTGAGGCCGTGCTTCAGGGCCCACATGTGGGATGCCTGGAGGCTCTGGCTGTGCAGGAGGAGTGAGTCCAGCTGTGGAAGGCGGGCAGGGGTGTGTTCCCCGCCCCCAGCTCTGAGGCGGGGTGTCCCCGCTCCCCGGAGAGCCAGGCATCCTCCCTGCTGCAGCTGAGTGTTTCTGAGCAATAACAGGTGTCTTGTTGGACAGGTTCTGCCTTAGATCTCCATCTTAGTGATGTAAGCCTCGCTCCCCTGGATAAGGAGCTGGACGAGCAGGACGGAAGTGACCTGGGACCCACAGGTAAGAACGAAGACACCTGGCGCTCTTGTCAGGGTGCCTGGGGCTGGCTGGACCTTTCAAGAATCCTTAAATGGTCCTAGGGTGGGAGAGGTCCCATCCCCCTCCTCCAGGACCCTGCAGCCCCGGCAGGACCAGCCTCACATCTCCTCAGTTTGCCTCCATCTGAGCAAAGTGGCCCCTGCAGAGATGGATGGGGGTGGGGTGTGCAGAATGGGGGCCACGGACGGCCAGCCTTCACAGCCTTCCGAAATGTTTAACCACTGCATTGACATGAAGACGGATATAAACATATACTGAATCATTTTCTTTGGCCTAAAAGCTCATCTTTTTCTTCTTTTTTTAAAATATGTTTTTTATTGATTTCAGAGAGGAAGGGGGAGAGAGGTAGAAACATCAATGATGAGAATCATTGATCGGCTGCATCCTGCACACCCCCTAGTGGGGATCGAGCCCACAACCCGGGCATGTGTCCTCACAGGAATGGAACTGTGACCTCCTGGTTCATAGGCTGATGCTCAACCACTGAGCCACCCCAGACAGGCTTATCTTTTTCTTCTGATGTTAAAACACATTAATGTTTCTGGGGGCCCTAAACGTCCTGGGACCACCATGCCAGTGGGTACGTTGGCTGTCGGGTCCTAGTGGGTGTCTGTCTCTGTGGGATCCCTGCTGAAACCCTTGTCTGTGCACTTGCCACTTGTCTGAGTGGTTGGGAGCTATGGACACATCTGTCTCTGAACCGCCACATGGTCGCTGCAGGTCTGGGACCCCCAGCACCCTCACCCCATGCCCCCTCGCCCTGGCTGCTGCACCCCAGCTCAGAGGCAATGCTGTGCTGTTTCCTGGGCAGAGGTCTGCTGCTGCCTCTCACTAACCCGGCCCCTCCACTCTGCACAGGTCAGAGGTCGCTGGGGGGCTCAGAGCCCGTCACCATTCCTGGCTGCCTGGCCCGCTCCCCATCCCTGCAATCCTCGTCATCCCTGTCCACCTCCCCGCTCAGCTCGCTCTCCCAGTCCTTGTCGGGGCCTCTTGTCTCCTCGGCCATGACGCCCCCCCAGCAGCCGCCACCCCTCAAGTCGGAGCCCAGGGTGCTGGGCTCCTCGGCCTCGTCCTACAACTCCCTAGGTGAGCTGGGGCTCGTGGGGGAGGGGCTACCCTATAGCGGCAGTTTACTGCTGAACAAACGGAGGTGCGGGTGGGTGTCCCCACTTGGTTGCCCCTCATTTAAGGCTCCATCGTGCCGCCTGCACACTCCCTGTGGTGTGGGCCTTGGCATATATCCCAGGCGACCCCTTGTCCACACGTCTGCTGCTTGGCCGGTGGTGCCCTGGGGCTCGGACCGGATTCGCTTGTCTACCTCTGTCAGGGGCTCTGTGCCCTGGCCGTGGTGTGACAGCACTGCAGCGCGACCTGCCGTGCGCACTCACGCGTGCAGTGGAGCTTCTGAGGCTGTGCAGGGGCGACGTCACCAGAGACTCAACACAGGAGCAGGCGGATTTGCAAAAACAGGGAACAGTGCCATTTCTTGTTTTACGTTATCCTTTCATTGAAAAGTGTTGTTTTATGTAACCTGTTACACTTTAAAAGAATTAGTATTTTTAAATATCTCTTTAATTCCCAGCTGGTCATGCACAACCTAACGACTTTTTGGTCAACAGACTGCATGTGTGACGTGGTCCTTAGGGTTCTAATGGAGCTGCATTTCTGTGAGAAATGGGAGGCTCTGTGGTTCAGGGGGAACTGTCTTCTCTGGTGGGAGCAGTACATGTGGAGCTTGGCGGCAGATTTCCCCTCTCAGCGCCTCCGTTTAGAGTCGGTTAGTCCTGTCCGTCAGTCACGGCCTGTGTCAGCACAGAGGGCGCTCCGCCCTTGCAGGGTAATCGCTGTACATTGTTGAGGACCTCAGCTCCTGTCCGGTCCACAGGAGGGGCTTAACAAGGACTAAGTGCCGCTGCCACTTTTTTTTTCTTTTTTCAAATATATTTGTATTGGTTTCAGAGAGGAAGGAAGAGGGAGAGAGAGATAGAAACATCAGTGATGAGAGGGAATCACTGATCGGCTGCCTCCTGCACACCCCCCACTGAGGATGGAGCCCGCAGCCTGAGCATGGGCCCCTGACCGGGAATCGAACTGTGACCTCCTGGTTCATAGGTTGATGCTCAACCACAGCCTCGCCGGCCACACAGCCACTTTAGAAGATGGTTTCTGTGGAGCCAGCCTGTCCCTGTACTTTGGAAATATTTTCAGGTTGTAATGCTGTAAAGTATAGATAAGGTTTTTCTTCCATTAATTCAGTGCCAGTGAGAGCCCTTTATGCCAGATGAGTCAATAGAACCAAATTCCCAAAGTCAAAATACTGAGTCCTCAGTTCTACCCCCTCTCCATGTTAAACACCCCCTTTTTTAATGAAAACCACAGGGTTCTTTAATCTGACCACTGCTCCAACATGCAGTAGCCAAAACCACATGGCCACGACAGTGCATGTTCCTCTCTCTCTCCGGCTTCACTTTTATTCTGACTAATCCTCCCTCCCTCCTGGCAGTCGCTGTTGTGATCGGGTCTCACCCAAACAGTCTCTCCTTGTACTTCCAGTCGGTCCAGCCCACATCTGTTCAGGAGCAGCACTGACAGCTTCAGTGTTGCTTCTGACCCGCTGGGAAGGGTGTGGGACAGTGTCTGTGAAGTCTGCGGCAGTGGCAGCAATAACTGGGCCTCATGCACTCACCACTCACTCTCCCGGAGCAACTGCTGCCAGGCTTGCAAGCTCAGTACTAAGTGCCCTCCGCAGGTGTGCCATTGCTCACCTTTTATACTGTACTTCTACTGTGTCTTCTGTTCAGATACACAAAAACTTACCGTTGTGTTACCGTTTCCTACAGTATTCCATACGGTGACACGCGGTACAGGCCTGTAGCCTGGGAGCAGTCGGCTGTACCGACGGCCCAGGTGTGCAGCGGGCTACACGACACCATTTCGGGTTGTGTGAGTGCACTCCGTGTTGTTGACACAGCAACGAAATTGCCTGATGGTGCATTTCTCAAAGTTTCCCCTGTTGTTAAGTGACACGCGACTCTGTCAACAAGTGTCACGTTGTCTGTTGTGGGAGCTCTTTAAACCCAAGCTCTCTGGGGCCTCAGGACCCTACATGTGTCAAGGATTCCTGGAACCAGAGTTTGCGAAGTCCTGCTCCACAGGCTGCAGTCACAGAAACTTTGAATTCATTTCTCTCTGTTTAAACCTCACAGGTGGCTGGAGGGGGGCCTGGCTGGAAGGGCAGGGGCAGCAGCCTTGTCTGTGGAACCCCAGAGGTCCCAGGTCCTGCCTGGGTGTCCGTGAAGTCTCAGCACGCCTGGGGCTGACATCTGTCTCCTCCACACTCAGGTTTGAATGGCGTCCCTGGGAGCATCTGGGACTTTGTTTCCGGCAGCTTCTCTCCCAGCCCATCCCCCATTCTGAATGCCGGCCCCACATCCACTGCAAGTGCAAGTCCAAATGGCGCCGAACTGGCACGGGTCAGGCGGCAGCTGGACGAGGCCAAGAGGAAGATCAGGCAGTGGGAGGAGTCCTGGCAGCAAGTGAAGCAGGTGAGTCCTGGGGAGGTGCCAAGCTCAGGGGAGGGCAGTGTGTATGCAGGGTGCCCCTGCCCCGTGCCAGCCACTACAGCCCCCTGGGTTTCAGGCCTGTGACGCATGGCAGCGGGAGGCCAAGGAGGCGAAGGAGCGTGCGCTGGCAGCGGACAGTGCCCGGCAGCTGGCACTGCAGAAGAAGGAGGAGGTGGAGGCCCAGTTCAGGCAGCTGCAGGAGGAGCTGGAAGGCCGGGGCATGTCCACACTCCCGGGGCTGCGGGGCTGCAACGACATCGGTGCCATCTCACTGCCCAAGCTACAGTCGCTGCAGAGTCAGCTACGCCTGGATCTGGAGGCGGTGGACGGGGTGAGTCCTGGTTTCGGCTTCCAAGGTACCTGATGTCTGCCCCTGGCCGTGTGTGGGACAGGTGATGGCTGGGACCTGGCCTACCACTCCTCCTCCTCTCGTGCGGTCCTTCTCTCATCGGCTCCTCAGATGGCAGCTCACGCTCTGCTCCCAGGAGCGTGTGCACCACCTCTCCTGCCAGTCTGGCCCTCCCTTCCATTCTGGAATCTTCCACGTTAGCCTGCTCCTGTGCCCTCATGGATAGAATCACAGCCCTCTTGTCCCAAACAGTTGGAAGGAACCATGGTGTATGTTTGAGGCATGTCACTGATCACCCCTTTGCCCGATTTCATTATTTTCTCTGGAGTAGCAAAAACCTGTTCAGCTCAGCTAGAAACTTCTTCCACACCAGGGCATTTTGTTAGAACTTGGAGCATCTGGAAGGTTCTAAAGCCCTGCCTCTTGACACTCTCCTCCTCTGCTGACTGTGGCCAAGGTCTGGCTGCAGTGCACATACCTGATCGCTTCACCTCCGAGGCACTGTCTGCGGGCTGTGGCTCTTCCCTGGTTAGAGGGCTGGGTCTCAGGTCAGGGTTCCACTGAGCCCCAATCTGGACCCACCAGCCGCAGGTCACGGGTCTCCATCCTGGCCTGTCCTTCCCACGCAGGCTTGGACCCCAGGAGCCAGTCTTCCACTTAAAGGTTTGTGGAAAAGCAGCTCTACCTCCATCTCTGTTCCCGGGGTGACCCCTGGCACGGGTGTCCCATCCTAGCCCTGAGCCTTCCTGGTCACCTCGGGGACAGGACAGTGGTGGGAGGGGCTTTGTGACCCGCCAACCTCTCCCCTGCAGGTGATCTTCCAGCTCAGAGCCAAGCAGTGCGTGGTGTGCGGAGAGCCGGCCCGCGGCGCCGTCCTGCAGCCCTGCCAGCACCGTGTGCTCTGCGAGCCCTGTGTGGCCAGTGCGCCTGAGTGCCCCTACTGCGAGGGCCAGCCCCTCCAGTGGTGACAGCAGCCATGGTGGCCTCACTTCCTGGTGCCACCGACGTCGGGACCCCAGCCCAGCTGCATCGTTTCATGGTATTCTCGTAGACCTTAAAGGCAAACCCACGCACCCACCTGCAGCCCAGGTTTCGGGTGGGCACAGTAATGACATGGGTTTTGCGGTCCTGACACTACTGTGACCACATCCTGGGAGTTCACGTCCCGGCCAAGCACTTTGTAAGCAGAGGAATTTACGTGGACGGTCTCAGCTGCTATAAGCTGCTTTCTAGGTTCATGTCTTTTTAATATGCCATATGAAGCTTTGTATGTGTACTGTGAACTTAAAGTATTTCCTATCAGTTTATTGTAATTCATAGTATGGTAAATATATTAGATTTCATATTCTGAAATTAGTACTTATGAAATGAGCATTTATCTAGTAGTGAGAAATGCCTAGGATTTTTATAGGTTTTAAATTAAGTGCAAATAGTATTTATAGCAGAGTGATTATTGAAAGACATACATTTAGATGTTTTTAATTTTATGAAAGGAACTGTTCCTAACCATGTGCTCGTGCACACTAATTGGAGTTTTATTTCCCAGCACCGTGCAAAATGAGGGAGCTCAGTCACGCATCTGCGACCCGTGGCCACTTTTTCTAAGTGCCTGTGCCTTGCAAAAGGAGAATGGTTCATTTGGTTTTATTTTCTCCCTTGAAACTTTGTAAGACAATTTGATACTCGTGAAAAGTGCAACCAAGGGGGTACATCTGTTTTACAAGCCCTCTGCATAGCTTCCTGGAGCTGGCCCCTGGGCACTCCCCACACCTGGGACCACCTGGACTCCTGCCAGAGTGGGCAGGCTCGCCCGTCTTCAGCACATTCGACTTCAGGCAACACTTTGGACACTGTTGTCTGAACTGTGTGTCTAGGTATTGTCAGTCATCCGTGAAGACCTGCTGTGCCAGGGCAGGGGCTGCCCTGAGGACCTGGCTCTAATGCTGGTCCCCAGGCCCCCAAGTAGCAGCCTGGCTTCGGGTCCATGGAGGAAACGCCCGAGAGCGGGTCTGATTTAGGGATGACCTGAGTCTTCTCTGGTCTGCGATGGGTCATTTTTTCTAGGAATCTGGGAAGAAGTAAAAGATGTCTGTAGCTTACCCCACCTTTGCTCAGTGAGGCCAATCTAGATTGCTGTGAGGAAGTCTTCGCAGAACCTGCCATTTGGGAGGCAGGAGCAGGTACTGGCCCCTCTAGCCTGGAAGTGAACACTTGTGTTTCTACTGGCCTGGGGCTTTGCCAAAGAATTTTAATAGCATTTTTAAAGTGCAAAGTGACTAGGTAAAAATTTTTATCAGTGACCAAATTAGAATGTATTTACTATAATAAGTTTAAAACATTTTTAACATAAGACAAGCTGATAAACAGTTACCATTTTAAAGGTGGATCTATGACATTCCACAGCTAGTGTGCTACTAAAGGTTAACTATTGACTTGGTTTTAATAAATCCTGTTTTTAATTATAGTGATGATGATTTATTAGGTCTTAGAAATTACGTATATTTTGTGCTGTTATCACTGTTTAAAATTATTTTTTATTAATATTTATGCACTTGTTTTCCATGTTAGGCCTTTGGCCTTTTTGGGGATAACAGGACCGTGTTTATTACTGATATCTAGCCTAGACATTTTACAATTATAAACAATTAAGAACAATTAAGCTTTAGGTCTATTTATAAGCTACTCGGTCAGTTCTGTGGAGTTTGGGGGCCATAGGTGTAGTGCCCACAGGGGTACCACAGCTGGTGTTCGGGCGCAGCCCTTGAGCACTTACCCTTCTCAGGTCAGGACTGGCTCTGAGAAAAGATGTGTGGTGGGAAGACCAAAGAACCATCCAGAATGGAACTCCCAGGGTGCCCGGGCGCAGTTAGGGCTGTCATTGTGGTACACTCCCAGGGGGCTGCTCCTTGGGGTCCTCCCCCACCACCTGCAGGGGCCCTGATCTTATGAGGGAGCCACCCTTTGCAGGCCTCATGGGCTTAGGGGCCTCACCATCCCCTCTGTGGGTGGGAGGGGAGTGCTGGGTGTAGCAGTGAAAGCCGTGTGGTGCTCAGTGTCTCAGCTCTAGTGCTCAATATTAGCAGTAATATTATTGTCATACTACTTGTGCAGCTGATCAGCAAACCTCACTCAGTGTGTGGACGCTTCATGTGGACTAATTTATGAAAGCCCCCCATCTGTATGTTTGTTCTGAGTATTTAGATGAGAATGTTATTGGAATGGAATTTTCTTAACCCAGAAGGTAGTATTTATAAGGCATAATCATTTACTTTAGTGAATTGTTTAAAGTTAACACTTGTTTAAATTTTTTTACACTACAACATTTATGCAATGGTTTACAGAATTCATGGAATTATTTTTATCAGTATGGAATTAAAACTTTGAATCTTTATTTGTCCGTATCTTTGAGTACAATCCTGAGAGCCACTGGCCTGGAAGGCACAGAGGAAGCACACCTGCCTGTCGCGTGCTTTTCCCGGGCCTTCTCGCTCTGCACCAGGGTCCCGGCCTGCTGCTCCTTCCTGCTACAGGATGCCAGTCTGGTCTGTCTTCAGCCCCCTCCCAGGTCATAAGGTGTTCCCAAGCAGCCCTGGGCTGCCAAGTAGCTGCTCTGCTGTCCTGTCTGTGGGTATCTTGGAGCCCAAGTGCTCAGAGCTGGAAGTTTCTACCAAAACACCAGGAGGTGACAGGTCAGGATCTGGCTCACAGGCAGCAGGTCCCAAGGTGGGCTTGGGCCCCCAGGCGCGACTTACCCACAGGCTTAGTGTAGGGGATGCCATGTTGGGTCAGCACACTTTGAAGTCTTTTAATCTCCTTTGATAGTTCTTTATGTGCCTGAAACAGAGAAGTTCAAAGGGCACGTCAGGCCCCTGGGCGGGAGGCCGTCTGTGTCCAGAGAACTCAGCTCCTACCCTCCCAATCTGTACCTTACTGCAGCTGTCCAAGGTCTCAAACACCAGACCCTGAGCACCGCCTTCCTGTGTGGATTCACTTTCTTCTGGGGTCTTTAAATAGCCAGCATCCTGAAAAAGTGCTCTGAGCAACTTCTCATAGCCCTGCAAGCCAAAGATGAAGAGGGAACCCCTCATAATTCCTCGCTGTGCTGCACCAAGCCAAGGGGGTGCCCACCGCAGCACCTCACCTGGGCAGTGATTAGCTCATCGGCCAGGTCCTGCTCCACCTGGTCCCACCTCTGCTGCAGGGCCGTAGGCAGGGCTGGGTACACTAAGATCCAAGTGAACTCAGACTTGGCTGAGCCCCTCTCCCCCCCTCCCCGGGCTCCAGCGTCCTACCTAACAAGGAGTGGGGGTGGCAGACAAGGGGCGTCTCGAAGGTCAGCGCGTAGACACAGGTGCTTGGCTCAGACACATGAGCCAGTCGGTTGCTTTTCCCACAGGTAAGCTCCACCTGGGGGAGAATTGGTTGGTAAGTGGGTAAAGCAGACGCCCCCCCCTCCCCAGGCCACACCCTACACAGCTCCACCTTGCTCTGCCGGCTCCGGGAGTGGCAGGAGTCACCATCCCTCATCCACATGCCCCTGAAGGTGTTATTGGCGATTTCCCACTCGTGCCAGATGCTGAGGAGGAGCAGAGCGTAAGTTTGGGTTGGGTTGGGGAGCGCTCCACACCAAGCAGCCTGTAGCTACTCACTCATCCCCATCCCCAGCTCACCCGAGGATCCCACTGTAGGCGTTCCAGCGGAAGGTCTGCTCGTGCTGGGTCACGTTGTGGAATGGGCAGAACTCGTACTTGTACCTGGGGGTACAGCTGCTGTCAGGGGTGTTCCCAGCCACCGCCCCTGCCACCCCTCCCCTCACTCACGTGGACTCCACCAGGCTGAAGCACTTGCCAGAAAGTCTGAAGAGATGCGCAGGCCCTAGAAGGGGGGAAATGCAACATGCTGAGTCCCGTGTAAGAGCAGGCACGTGGAAAAGCAGACCAGGCAGAAAAAATTGACAACCCACAAAACTGGGGCCATTCAGGAAAAAGGTTGGTTTAAACTTTAAAAATGGAGCACGAGAGTTTGGGTGATGTCAGCAAAATCTTAGACTAAGCTCCAAGCTCGTTTCCCTGTGAAACATCAAAAGAGCAAGCAGGAACAGGCTGGGCTAACCTAGGAGTTCTGAAAAACAGGTTTACAGCAACCACGTGGACAGAAGAACAAAAGCACCTTCAAGCTGGTAGCACAGGTGTCTTGTGCCACCCCTAACCCTCCTGCGTGGTCACAAGGAGCAGGCCGACCGTATCTGCAACATTCCAACCTGGCTGGGGGCTGCGGAGGCCTGGTCTTTGTTTTGCCTACCTCAGACCTCAGGTGGGAAAAGTGGGCCCTGCTCATGAAAGCTGCAGGGGGCCTAGAGACTCAGAAGTTCGAGGCAAGACTCTAGGAAGTAAAGACATGTACATGCCTAATAGCAAGATGCACCTCAGGCTGCTCTCTATACTCAGAATATGCCCAGATATTGGTGAAGATCTGCCCCATCGCAGAGCCAGTCTGCAAACTAACTGGCAGAGGTATCTGTTTTCAAAGACCCATTTTTCAATAAAAATTACAAGGCATACTAAGAAACAGGAACACACTGCCTATTCAAAGGCAAATACTGACAGAACCACCTGAGAGAAGCCCAAACAGTGGACTTATTAAAAACTTTATTTTTAAATATGTTTTTATTGATTTTGGAGAGAGAGGAAAGTACAGGGAGAGAGAGAAACATCAATTGGCTGCCTTCTGCATGCTCCCTACTGAGGATTAATCCTTCAACCCAGGTATGTGCCCTGACCAGAAATCGGGGACCAGCCACCTCCTGGTGCATGGGATAATGCTCCACCAACTGAGCCACACCACCACAGCCAGGGCTACTGAACACTTAAATATCTTAAATATGCTCCAAAAACTAAAAGAAAACACAAATAACTAACGGATATCAGGAAAATGATGTGGGCAGAAGTAGATCTGAACAGACAGAAGAAAGAATCAGTGCCCAGAGCCTAAGAAACCTGTGGGACACATGGGAGTCCCCCGAAGGAAAAGAGGGACAGATTAGTTGAGGAAATGATTGTCAAGAACCTCCCAATTTGATAAAAGACATGAATCTCCAAATCCCAGAAGCTCCAAGTATAATGAACTCAGACCCACATCAAGAGACAAATGTCAAAAACCAAGTCTTGACAAGTAGATGGAATTACAGCAAAATGTGCTGAATGTATTTGCCTGCTTACAACACTGGGAGATGTGTTTGCCAGTAAGTTGCTCATCACAAGAGCACCAGACTTGGGGGTGTAATCTCCGGCAACTTGCATGCCCTCTGAAAGAAGGGTTTTTCTGTGCTGTGAAATGCATAGAACTTATACTTTGCTATGCACGACTGTTCCTGCAATTGATATTGTGTGAAACCTGGGAGGGTGGTCTTTGGGGTTCTCAGGAGCCAATGGTAATTTTTGAGTTGGGGAGCCAATTTGGGGTGGGGAATTTCACCTGGGCCTCCGCTCTTTAACTATATAAACATTTATCTGTATCTCTATGTCCCGGTCTGGGGGGCAGGAGGAATCTATAAAAGACCAACAGTCTTACTTTATCTTACTATACTTCACAAAGGTTCTAAATGTGAAGAGTTTACTTGGATTGAAGTAGCCCACTGGTTGTTCATATATTTAAATAAAATGGTCTACAACTATTTTTCAAACAAACAAAAAAAAAGTCTTGAAAGCTGTAAGAAGTGACCTGTTTTCAATAAGACTATCAGCTGATTTCTCTGCAAAAACTTTGGAAACCAGAAAGCAGTGGGATGAAAATTCGACCGAGGATTCTACTAGTATATCCAGGGAAAATATCCTCCAAAAATAAGGAAACAAAGGCTGAGGAAGTTCACTGTCAATTAGACCTGACCTACAAGAAATGCTGAAGGGAGTCCTTCAAGTTAAAAATGAAAGGACTATAAAAACCTCCAGTAAAGGGCAAATTACAAAGCCAGCATTGCAATTCTGCTTTGTAAATACACAGAATTTAAAAGACAAAAGCATAAAAAATTATAAATCTATGTTAGCAGGCACACAATGTTTAAGAGGTAATCTGTAAAAACAACAAGGCTGATAGAGAAACAGCTGTGTAGGAGTAGTTTTATATACAATTGAAGTTAAGATGGTATAAACTCAAATAGACTAAGAACTTTAGAATGTTACATAATCCCCATAGTAACCACTGATAAAAATAACTATGTAAAATATACACAAAGGGGGGAAAGTGGAAAATCAAACATGTCACCTAAGAAAAACAATCAATAAAAACTAATGGACAAGCCCTGGCCAGTGTGGTTCAGTGGCTAGAGCTTAGGCCCACGCACAGCAGGACCACAGGTTCGAGTCCTGTCAAGGGCACATACCTGAGTTGTAAGTTTGATTCCCCGCCCAGTTTGGGGGGTGTACAGAGGGAACCAACTGATGTCTCTCCGTCTTTCTCTCTCTTCCCCTCCCTCCCTTCCACTCTTTCTAAAAATGGAAAAACTATCCTTGGGTGAGGATTAACAACAAAAAACTAATGGAAGAAACAAAGGACAAAATCAATAAAAACATCTATTTTTTAAAAGCACAGATTGGCCCGGCTGGTGGTGTTCAGTGGTTAAGCACTGATCTATGAACCAGGAGGTCACAGTTCAATTCCCAGCCAGGGCACAAGCCTGGGTCGTGGGCTCGATCCCCAGTAGGGAGTGTGCAGGAGGCAGCTGACCAATGTTTCTTTCTCTCCCCCTCTCCCTTCCTGTGTGAAATCAATAAAAATATATTTAAAATAAAAAAGGCACAGATTAGCCAAATGAACTGAAAATAAGTTACTTATATGAGACTCACTTTAGGTCTTTAGACTTACTTTAGAATGTTACATAATCCCCATAGTAACCACTGATAAAAATAACTATATGTAAAATATACACAAAGGGGGAAAAGTGGAAAACCTACACAAGAGGTTGAAAATGAAAAGATGGAACATTCTCCAGGACAAACCACATATTATGACACAAAACTATTTAATAAACTTAAAAAGACTGAAATCACAGTTACTTTTCTGATCACACTGAAAAATAGAAATCAATAAAGAGTGGGAAACTCACAACTATATGGAAATTAAATAACACAATCTTAATCACTTGGTCAAAGAAGAAATTACAAGGGAAGTTAGAAAATACATTCAAACAAAAACACAAGATACCGAAACTTACAGAATACAGTGGAAGCAATGCTAAGCAGGAAATTTATAGCTGTGAAAACATCAAGTCTTGGCCGGTTTTGCTCAGTGGATAGAGCACTGGCCTGTGGACTGCTGGGTTCGGGGTTTGATTCTGAACAAGGGCATGTACCGCCATTGCAGGCTCCCGGCCCTGGTCGGGGAGCCTGCGGGAAGCAAACAATCGATGTGTCTCTCTCTCACATCAGTGTTTCTGTCTCTCTCTCCCTCTCCCTTCCATTCTCTCTAAAAGTCAATGGAAAAAATATCTCGAGTGAGGATTAAAATAAATCTATATACATAAAAGCCTAAGCAACCGAAGGACTGGTCACTATTATGCACACTACAACCAGGGTGCAGACACTCCCACAGCCAACCTCCCACGGTCCCTCCCCCTGGCCGGCCAACCTCCGGTGGCCCCTCCCCCTTACCAGCCAACCTCCCGCAGCCCTGATCGGCACCATTCGCTGGCCAGGCTGAGGAACCCCACCCATACACGAACTCGTGCACTGAGCCTCTAGTAAATAAAAAAAAGTATATATATAAAAAAATTCAAAAGTAAGATTTCAAATCAATAACCTAAATTTTAATATGTCAGAAAAAGAGCATATTAAACTCAAAGCAGCAGGAAGAAAGAGGAAATTTATCAGTAAAACCAAAAGTTCATTCTTGAAATCAAGTTGGTTCAAAAGAAATCAACAAATCTTTGGCTAGATTGTTTAAGGAAAAAAGATTACTCAAATTATTAAAATCAGAAATAAAAGAGTCACTACTATCAATTTTACAGAAATAAAAAGGATTATAAGAATACTATGAACAACTTGATAACCAACAGATTGATAACCTAGATCAGTGATGGCGAACCTTTTGAGCTCGGTGTGTCAGCATTTTGAAAACCCTAACTTAACTCTGGTGCCGTGTCACATATAGAAATTTTTTTATATTTGCAACTATAGTAAAACAAAGACTCATATTTTTGATATTTATTTTATATATTTAAATGCCATTTAACAAAGAAAAATCAACCAAAAAAATGAGTGTCATAGGTTTGCCATCACTGACCTAGATGAACTGGACAATTCACACACAATTATCAATTCTTCTCAAATTCTTCCCAAAAAACTAAAGGGGAGAAATACTTCCTGATTCAATTTTCTAAGGCCGCATTCCCCTGACAGCAAAGCCAGAAAGAGACAATGCAAGAAAAGAAAATTACAGATCAGCATCTCTTATGAATATTAATGTAAAACCCCCCAACAAAATACTAGCAAACTGAATTCAATAACACATTAAATGGACTCTACGCCATGGCCAAGTAGGGTTAATCCTAGAATGTAAGGATGGTCCAAAAGACAAAAACCAATCAACTAATAGTATACCCACTAACAGAAAGCGGGGATAATCACATGATCATCTCAACTGTTCTAGAAGCACCTGACAAAATTCAACAGTTTCACCATAAAAAACTCAACAAATGAGGAAGACAAGGAGGCTTCTTTAACATAGTCACAGCATCTATGCACAATCCATAGCTAACATCATACTCAATGGTGAAAAACTGAAAGCATCCCCCAAGATCAGAAACATGACAAGGATGCTCATAGCACTGCTATTCACTATTCAACTTCATACTGAAAGTTCTAGCCAGAGCAATTAGGCTAGTAGTAAATAGTAGTAGTAGTAGTAGTAGTGATAAAAATAATAAAAGGATGGATTGGAGAGGAAGAAGTAAAATTATTTTGTCATGTTTGCAGGTGGCATATTTATAAATGTAGAAAACCCTACCAAAATCTGCTAGAGCAAATAAATTCAGCAAAGTTGCAGGATATAAAATTGATGCTCAAAACCCAGTGTGTTTCTATACACTAACAATGAACAATCCAAAAAAAGAAATTTAAGAAAATGTTTCCATTTACAATAACATCGAATAGAAAAGGAAAAACATTTAGGAATAAATTTATTCAAGGAGGCACAACACTTATCCCCTGAAAACTACAAGCTACTGCTGAAAGAAATTAAAGATATACATAAATAGAAAGATTTCCTGTGTCCATGGATAAAAAGATTTAATATTAAGATCTCAACTACCGAAAGTGGCCTCGTTATTCAATGTAATCCAAATACAAATCCCAGCAGTACTGGAAGTGCTAGCCACAGTGGTCAGACAAGAAGAAAACATAAAAGGAATCCAAACTGGAAAGTAAAACTCTCATTATTTGCAGATGACATGATATTGTACACAGAAAACCCTAAAGACTCCACCAAAAAACTAGATTTAATAAATGAATCCAGCAGTGTAGCAGGATACAAAATTAACACCCAAAAAACCCATGGCATTTTTATACACCAATAATGAATTGTCAGAAAGAGAAATTGAACGATCCCATTTACCATTGCAACAAAAAAATTAAGATACTTAGGAATAAACTTAATCAAGGAGGTAAAAGACTTGTACTTGGAAAACTATAGGATGTTGAAAAAAGAGACAGAGAAAGATATAAACAAGTGGAAGAACATACCGTGCTCATGGATTGGTAGAATTAACATTATTAAAATGTCCATACTACCCAAAGCAATCTACAGATTCAATGCAATCCTTATTAAATTACCAAGGGCATATTTCAATATGTTATTGCTTGTTTTTTTAATAAATAAATAAAACACACACACACACACACACACACACTCCACTTATCATACCTACAGAGCATCAAACATTCTACACTTCACCTACTTCTTTGTTTATTGCCTACACCCCATTAAATTCTCAAGTCCATGAGGACAAGTACTGTATGTTTTGTTCTTTCTGTATCCTCAGCACAGACCCTAATACACATAGTATTCAATTAAAAAATTATTGCAATTTGTTTCTCATATTTAATACTCACTTATCACCCTGACCAGTTTGGCTCAGTGGATAGAGCGTCGGCCTGCGGACTGAAGGGTCCCAGGTTCAATTCCAATCAAGGGCATGTACCTTGGTTGCGGGCACATCCCCAGTTGCGGGGGGTGTGTGCAGAAGGCAGCTGATCGATGTTTCTCTCTCATCGATGTTTCTAACTCTATCCCTCTCCCTTCCTCTCTGTAAAAAAATCAGTAAAATATATTTTTTCTTTCTTTTTTAATTTAATTTTGTTTTATTTCTTAAAGTATTACAAAGAGTATTACACATGTCTCCTTCCCCCCCCCCCTTTGATATTCCCCCGGCCTCCCTTACCCCCCAGTGTCTTGTGTCCATTGGTTATTCTTATATGCATGCATACAAGACCTTCAGTTGATCTCTTACCGCCCCCCCAACTGTCCCCAGGCTTCCCACTGTAGTTTGACAGTCTGTTCAATGCTGCTCTGCCTTTGTATCTATTTTTGTTTATCAGTTTATAATGGTCTTTATTATCCATAAATGAATGAGATCATGTGGTATTTTTCTCAGCTTCCCAGGAGCCGTCGCAGCCTCACAGGGGCCGTCCCAGCCTCACCGGGGCCGTCCCAGCCTCACTGGGGCCATTGCAGCCTCACTGGGGCCATCCCAGCCTTACCAGGGCCGTCTCATACTCACCGGGGAGTAAAATATATTTTAAAAAAATACTCACTTATCAACCTAACCACTTCTGGGATCCTGTCACATGACTTACAAAGAGGCAGTCCCTACCAGGTATGTTCTTCACAGCATTGTTTCTAATGGCCAAAAAATGTAAACAACATATTCTATGTAATAAAAGCATAGTATGCAAATTGTCCCCTCCAGGGGGAGTTCCACCGGGAGTTTGACCAGGGGGCTAGGCCAGCCAGGGGAAGGGAGGGAGGTCCCGGCTGGTGGCCTCTAGAAACCCTACCAGTGCATGAATTTCACGCACTGGGCCCCTAGTTGCTTAATAATAGCGGAATGCAGAGCCATCTTATGGAATACCAAGCATCAAGTGAAAAGAATGAAGACCTACATCCACCACCATGAAGAATACAAGACATACAGTGAATGACAACAGTAAATGCACAAACTTATACATATAGTGGTACTATTTTAAAAAACACAATGCAAAGGCCACAGAAAAAGTACTACACTTTTCTTACTTGTATACTTATGCATGAAAAAGCATAAAAGTCGCCTGGAAAGACAGACACCAAACTATTAACAGAAGTCACCTCTAGAGAAGGAAATACAGCACTAAGTTCGGGGGCAACTATTTAACTTGGTACAAGAATGTTCTGAAATGTCACGCACTCAAAAATAATTTTAAAAGGCTGACAAACCAATGCATGAGCCTCTAAGCCCGAACTCCCAGGGCCCCTCATCCGACGCCGTCCGTCCCTACCTGGCCCCCCTGGAGCCAGCTCCCGAGCGCTGACCCGGTGCCCCCGGAATCCAGGCCAGTTCCCTGCTCCCCGCTGGCCACCACCACGTCAGCGGCCAGGGCGCGGCACTCACCAGACACGGGGGAAGGGTCCCTCTTGGGCTGCAGGCGACTGGTCTGGGGCAGGAACGGGTTGTTGAGTCTGCGGGAATTGGCAGGGTCAGGAAGAAACCGGGCCCTGGGTCGCCCCTCCGCCCGGCCCGCGGCTCCATGCAAGGCTGCTCACCCGAACGTGTTGGGCTCCTCCACCACCTTCATCTTGGCTGCGCCCGCGTACGTGGGTCCTATGGGGAACGGGGCGTGAGGAGGCGGGGACGGGTCGGGGAGGGGGGCCCGGGGACGGGTCGGGGAGGGGGGGTCGGGGAGGGGGGCCCGGGGACGGGTCGGGGAGGGGGGTTCGAGGAGGGGGGCCCGGGGACGGGTCGGGGAGGGGGGTCCGGGGACGGGTCGGGGAGGGGGGCCCGGGGACGGGTCGGGGAGGGGGGTTCGGGGAGGGGGGCCCGGGGACGGGTCGGGGAGGGGCTCGGGGTCGCCGGAGCCTGGGCAGGGCGCGCCAGGGGCCAGGACACTAACCGCACGCTGCGAGTCCCAGCAGCAGCAGGCGCGCCAACGCCGCCGCCATCACGCCCGGCGCTGGCAGGGCGCGCGGTCACGTGAGCGCCGCCGGGTCACGTGAGCGCCGGAAATAGTAGGCGCGCCGGTCGCAGGCTTAGCGCGTGAGCGGTGTAGCCGGGCTGCCGTGGAGGGGCTCGCCCGCGGGTCTCGGGGCCCTGCTCCCACCATGGGCCGCCGGAGGGCAGCGCGCGGGCCGGGCGCCGAAGGCGGCCGCACTCGGCGAACCGCGGGCCGCTCTCTGGAAGCGTTCGCCGAGGAGGTGAGCGTCGCGCTGCGCGGTAAGTACGGTGTGATCGGCGGCGGGCCCCGGGCTGGGGTCGGAGGCCAGGGCAGGTCGGCGGAGCCGCGCGTGACCCGGCCCCATTCTCCGCCCGGTGCAGCGTCCGTGGAGCCAGAGACGGCCGAGGACAGGGACAGCCGGAGCCCGGCGCCGCTGCCTTGCACGCTAGCCATGTGGGAGCTGGGCCACTGCGACCCCCGGCGCTGCACCGGCCGCAAGCTGGCCCGCCTAGGCCTGGTGCGCTGCCTGCGCCTCGGTCACAGGTTCGGCGGCCTCGTGCTCAGCCCCATGGGCTCCCAGTACGTGTCCCCCGCTGACAGGTAGGCGCGAGGAGCCGGGAGGGCGGGGTGCCTGCCTGGATCCTTATCTTAATAAGCCCCCGACTCTGGCGCATCACCCTTTCAGGGCTCACCTATTGATACTTATCTGTCTAGTTTGCCCCAATTGCCCAGCGTAGAGCCCAGAATATAGTAGATCTCAAATAAACGTGAAGAAATGAGCCTGTTTTAGTTCCCAGCTGCCCCAAAGCTTGGCTTATAAAGGGCCCCTGGAGGTAGTTCAGGGCAGGGGAATGGCGTTATTGTATCCCTAGCGAGGCCAGTCTCCAGGGACATACCTGTTCTAGGGCCATCGCCAACGCGGTGCTGGCCCCCAGAACCCTATGCTGCTCCTGGCAGACAGCTGGTGGCACAGTCGGGCGTGGCTGTCATCGACTGCTCCTGGGCCAGACTGGAGGAGACGCCCTTTGGGAAGATGCGGGGCAGTCACTTTCGGCTGCTGCCTCACCTGGTGGCTGCCAACCCTGTGAACTATGGCCGGCCCTGCAAACTGTCCTGTGTGGAGGCGTTTGCGGCCACCTTCTGCATCCTGGGTGAGTGTCGGCCTGGCAGCTGGCTGTGCTCCCAGCAGGGTGTTTTCTGCTGGCAAGTCACAGGAGAAACCGTGAGGGTGTGGGCAGAGGTGGTTGAGGTGGAAAGGTCAGGGTTTCTATCCCAGTTCCCACTTAAAAGTTTTCCCCCTGTGGGGTTGAGGTGGCAACATGAATAGCTGGCCTGCAAGCACTCAGATTTGCCTATTGTCTTGGCACCACTGCCCTGAGAGTCCTCCAGCACCCTTCAACTCATCCTCAGGGAATTTATGGTCCCAATAGAGGCCCAGATGGGCAGGGGGATTGAGTGGGCTGCAGAGGCAGGCATGGGCTGTCTGGACTTAGGATAGCATCTGGCAGGCGCATTTAGCTCCTGGGACAGCATTGGGTACGCTGGGGACACACTCAGGATTGGAAAGGGACTGTTGACATTCCTGGGTTTCCTGTTTCTGCGGCATCAGGCTTCTCAGACCTTGCTGTCATTTTGCTGCGGAAGTTCAAGTGGGGCAAGGCCTTCCTAGACCTGAACCGTCAGCTCTTGGACAAGTATGCAGCCTGCTGTGGCCCAGAGGAGGTGCTGCAGGCAGAGCAGGAGTTCCTGGCCCATGCCAAGGAGCGCCCAGAGGAGGAGATCGGTGAGGCCTGGCATGGATGTGAGCCCCGCCCCCGTTGGGAGCCAGGACCCTCCATGCCTGCCACCTCTTTGAGAAGCTCTAGGGGTGGAAGGCTGGGTTCTGCTCAAAGCTCACCTGTCACTGTCCTCTCTGCTCCCTCTGTTCAGATCCCTTTGATGTGGATTCAGGTCGAGAGTTTGCAAATCCCAACAGGCCCGTGGCTGGCACCCGGTAGGTCCTTAGTCTTCCCACCTTCGTGACAGCTCAGACCCAGGCTGTCCTCAGCCCTTCCTGCTCTGCAGAAACCAGGTGGGAGGTTTGGCTGTGGAGATGGGGGGTGTGGACGTCCCATTGAGAGGCTCTGGATTCAAGAACACGGGGAGTAAGAGGAATTTGTACTCGGCCTGAGGGCTCTTGTGGGTCAGGTGGTGCCTTTAGTGAAACAACTACTTCCAGGTTGCCCAGGGACAGTGATGACAGTGACAGTGAGGAGGAGTCTGAGGCACTGGGGCCCGAAGCTGAGGATGGAGGCCACAGCAGCAGCAGCCCAGAAGAGGAGGAGACGCAGGAGCAGGGGTCAGAGGCCAGGGCCCCTGCCGAGCTTTGGAAAGGAATCAAGAAACGGCAGAGAGACTGAAGGTTCCAGGCGTGTATTTTTCAAGGCAGAGTGATGAGGAAACCTAGCGACAGCAGCGGCGGAACTGGTGGGAACGACAGGCCTGGCGGTCCTGGCTCATCGATCGCATCTACGAGCAGCACTGGGCTCTGTCAGGTTCTCTCCCAAAGCTTCTGTCACAGCCTTGCTCTGGGTCCTGCCTCAGAGTCCCTAATGAAGCTGCAGGGACACTTCGTGAGCCTCTGTTTCTTTGCACTTGGCCTCGGCGCTTGGGGGAACTCTCAGCCTCTGGTGAGGCAGACCCTGGCTGGAAAGGTCTGGACAGGGGGGTGGTGGGCCACGGAGGAGGTCTTGTGTGGGCGCGAACATGTATGTGATAGGAGAAGCCAGCGTGGAGCTCCTTACACTGACCCACCAGCCTCGTAGAGTGAGTGATTCAAGGGACCCCCTCCTGGGCTGAGGGTCCAGGTGGGGGACTGGAGACCTGTGATATTCTTAGCAAACCTCCACATGCCCTCCCTGGGTGGAGGGTTCTGGAGCCCAGAGAGGGTGAGAACACGGTGGCTGTCACTTTCCCTCCACCTGGTGCCCTGGGAGCTGCTTCACTCCAAGGTTTGCGTTGTTCAGACTCAATCCCTGGCCTTCCTGCCTCTCAGCCTAGTGAGCGCCCTCCCCACAACCCCAGCTTCTAAGACAATTCGGCTGCAACACTGGTGACATTGGGGAGGGACCGTTCTTAGTTGGGGAGAGTACTGTCTGGCTTATTGGAAGATATTAAGCAGCATCCCTGAACTTTGTCCACTGGTACCAGAAGCATCCCCTTCAACCTCCAGGTGTGACAAATAAAATATCTCCAAACATGACCTAATGTCCCCTCCCACTGAGAAGCGAGTGCCTGGGGGCAATGGAACCCCGGGGAGGCAGCTGGGGAAGCTCACCTGGTGGCCAGGCTTCCTGTATTCCCTGTCCAGCGGGTAGCTGCTGGCCAGGCCCCACCAAGTTGGCCGCCCAGATACAGGGTTAGGGGGGTCCTTGCTGGGTGCAGGGAGTTCATAGCACATACCACATGGACACGCCAGGGCAGACAGAAGCTGGGGGACCCAACTATAGCACGAACGCCACATAGCAGGGGAGGGGGCACCACAGCCCTGGCTGCACTAAGCTGGTCACAGGGTGAGATGACACCGTGGGGACTTGGGGGTGGTTTGGGGGCTCGCAGCCGCAGGGGTCTCATGGGTCCGCCTCCATGTATTTCTCCAGCTCCCTGAGTCTCTTGACAAACTCCTGCGCCTCCCGGTTGGTGCGGCCCTCCAGCATCCTCAGTGCAGACCTCACTGCAGGCAGGAGGGCAGGGGCAGCATCAGGCCCTGCCAGCCCTTAGACCCTCTGCCCCCTGACTCCCCACTTACCCTGGGCTCTGGGCCGGCGCAGGTGCAGGGTGATGGGCTGCCCAGTCCTCGCGCTCCCCCCCACCTGGGGCCGCACGATGCCGCCAACGCTGCCCAAGCCGAGAGCTGCCTCCCCTGCAAAGTCGTTGGTGGACAGCCAGTCGTGATCCATGACCGTAAAGAGCACACAGGCACCGCGGCGGCGGCACACCTCTGCTGGCACGGAGCTGCAGGCGGGCAGACGGCAGTCACCTAGAGCCCTGCTGCCTGCTTGGCTGGGCGTTGGGCAGGCGGGGGCAACACTCACAAGTAGAAGAGTTCATCATACACCGGGTGCAGTGTCCGGCTTTTCACCTGGGTCCGCTGGCTGTGGACCAGCGGGAAAAAGTGCGGCGGGCCCAGCTCCACAATCACAAAGGGGTCACTCAGACCTGGGGGGCAGGGCAGTGAGCAGCTGCCGCCATCCCACTGGCCTGTCCCCACCCCGCCGTGCCTCTGCCCCTTACCGTTGGCATCCAGGGGGAGCAGGTCAGCAGCGTGCAGTACTTCCACCACCAGCCGCTGCTCAGCTGCCTCGTAGTAGCAACGGACACTCAGGCGCCCACACCGGTTATGCTCTAGTGACCTCTGCAAGAAGGCCGGTGGGCCCGTGAGCTCAGCTTGGGCTCGGGTGAGGCCATGTGCCCACTCCTGGACCACATACCTGCTTGAGTTTGTCCAGGTAATACTGCTCAATGCACTCGCGGGTGGAGCACTTGTGCAGGCGCAGCTCCTCCTCCAGCCTCTGCAGGGAGAGGAGGGAAGAAGGTGGACGCCAACTCCTCCCTGAAGGCAGGGCAGTGCAGGGCAGTGGCCCAGGTGAGGCCTCACCTTGTAGCTTCCGTCCCTCAGGTTCTCCAGGGGCAGACCCTGTCCATCTGCGTGGAAGAAAGTGACCAGGGCCTAGTGCGAGGCAAGAAGGGAGAGATGTCAGACTGTGGCGTGTGCTGGGGGCAGTGGACCAAAACAGGTGGAGCCTTGAGTTTGCATAGCACCAGGGTCCTGGGAGCCCGAGGCAGAGCCACCTGGCACACCAGGGGCATATCAAAAGCCCCCAGCAGCTTGGGGGAATGCTGGTGCCTGAGGCCAGACACTGCCTTAACAGGTAGCACAGGTGCTACTGACCCAGGTGGGCTGGCAGGGAGCAATGCCCTGGTGGGTGCTTTGAGGAAGAGCTGTCCAGACTTGGCAAGCCAATGCATCTGGCCTGGGGCAGCGGGGCCCCGGGGAGGGGCAGCAGCCTCCCCCCTCCGCAGCCCAGCAGAGGTGGCACCTCCACAAGGTCCTACCTCCAAGGTGAAATGGAAGCGGCTGTAGAAGTCGGCCGAGACGTCAAGGTTGGTGCCCAGCGCCTGCAGAATGGCCTGCAAAAGCAGCTCCCAGAGGGCCTCCAGCACCCTGCAGGGACACAGCATCTGTGACTGGACCCTGGCCCGCCCTGCTCCACCCGGCCCAGTCCATACCTGTTCAGGTTCTCCTTCTCCAGCAAGGCGTTCAGCAGGGCCAGCTTCTCATCTAGGTATTTCATGAGTGGGGCCACAGCCTGCGGGGAGAGTCCTCAGGGCCAGACTGCACCCGGGCCCCACCACACACGCTCCCCACCAGGCTGAGCCCGCAGCTGGCCGAGCACTCACCTCATCGTTCTGGATGGAGTCAGGTGAGAGGCTGATGTGCTGCACGTACTTCCTGATGTCACCCACCATCTGAGGGAGAGCAGGGCTCAGCACTGAGGGGAGTGGGGGTAGAGGGGGAGCCAGGTCCCTACCCCCACCTTCCTTGCCCACCTTGGAGGTCAGGTGCGCAGTCACAGTGCAGGCCTCCCGCTGCAGGTCCTCGTCCAGGGCCTGTGTGCAGTTGAGTAGAGCACGCGGGAGCCCTCCTGTGAGCCCCGCGGCCCCCTCTGGCCATGCCAGGCCTCGGAGTGCCTGGCCAGCAGCCCGGCGCAGGAGCTCCACATTGTTGAGGACCACACAGAGCTGGAGAGATGTGCCAGATTGTGTGTGTTGGGGGGGTTAGTGTTCCTGTGGTCATATGGTGGCCCCCCCACCTCCTACCCCCATCCACCTGCCTGCCAGCCCACTCACCGGCTCACTCACTGCCTCGCCTGAGGCCCTGGGCTGAGTGTCCACCTTCTTCCGCAGCAGCTCAGTGTAGAAGAGGGCAGCCTCACACAGGTCCTGGGAGGACACAGGGGCTCGAGAGCTGTGGGCCACATCTGGCCCTGTGGACCCCGACCTATTCTTGGGCTGTAGTTCCCACCTGGCTAAGCTGGGTGCCCAGCCCCTGGGCCTGGACAGGGTCTGGCCATGCTAAGCAGGTCCACAGCTCCTGGATGTGGCTGAAGCAGAGACTTGCAGTGGCCACCGAGCTGCTGTGCTTGGAGTTCTCCATTGGTTCCAGCTGGAAAGGCAAAAGGCAGCCTGGGTTTGGGGGGGCCCTGGATGGGTCCCAGTACCCTCGAGCCAGGTGCTCACTCACTGTGTCCACATCAACAGCTCCCTGCAGCCTCCATTTGGCCTGGTCCCGCAGCACCTGCAGCCAAAGCTTCACGGCAGGTAGGAATGGGGCGTGGATGCCGACCAGGGCCAGGGAGCGGCTGTCCCTGCAGCAGGAGGCCAGCAGTCAAAGCACGCCCACCTCAGGCACCCTGAGCCAGCGTGGCCTAGGGTCCCTGGGCTAAGCAGCACCCAGAAGAGCCTCCTGCACAGGGCCCTTGGGCTCCTGCTCCAGAGCCCGCCTAGAGGAAACTAGAGAACATGGGAGGGGGCAGGTGAGGGAGGGAAACAGGTGCACGGAGGGGGAAGTGGAGGGAGGGAGTAGGTGGTGGAGGGGGAAAAGGGAGGGGTGAGGGGACAGGACACCCACCGGCCCAGGATGCTGCTCCAAAAGCGCTGGATGTCTGCCAGGGACAGGTAGAGCTCAAAGAGCCGGGACGCCACCTCGAGGGTCATTTTGGAGCTCAAGTCCTCCGTCAGTACCCACACCTCCTCAGCTACCTGCCCCGAAAGGTGGAGTCAAGCTGCCAGCAGCAAGGAAACCCAGGCCCTTTCCCAGCCAGAAAGGCTCTCCCCATCCCCCTGCCTCACCAGACGCTCCAGCTGCCGGAAGGTGAGGGTAAAGAAGTCGATCTTGATGATGCTGCAAAGGACACATCTCAGACACCTGCTCGACCCTGGCCCCAGGCCCCAGTGGCAGCACTTGAGGGGCTGGGTGCAGGGGCGGCAGGAAGAGCCCTGGGGGCCACCTGTGGAAGAGGCTGGCATAGATGCTGTAGCAGGACTGCAGGTCCTCATAGACGGCGTCAACCAGCTCCACCAGCCCAGCAAGTCGCTGCGGTCCCGGCTGCAAGGAAGCAGGGTTCACACTGTGTTCACACTGCGCCCCCTGCCACACTCCCCTTCCCCTGCCCCCATGGCCAAACCCTCTTTGAGCTGTACCTGCTCGCGAGGACTCTTGGCGTTCAGGAGCCTGTCGTACCATTCCCGGTTTCCTCTCTGCATGGCGGCAGCAGGGGGAGGGGAAAGAAGGGCAGAGGGCCTGGGTTACAGCAGGGCCAGGGCCAGAGGGGGGGGCACTGGCAGCGAGAGGGGCGGGGCGGGGCAGGTGGCCCTGACCAGGCTACCAGACGCACTTTCAGGGCAGCAGTGATGTCCGTGTTTAGCTCCGTCTCGAAGGGGCAGACTTCAAAGGAAGGCTGGAAGAGCTGCAGCTTGTCCAGACACCTGGTGGAGGAGCCACAGGTGACGGGCGGCTGCCGGGCCTGGCCCCCTGCCCCTCCTGTGCTAGCAGCCGCACCCACCTCAGCA